CCACCTTAGGTGTATGTGGCTGGCGCCTTAGCCGCTTGAGCCACAGGCGCCGAGCCGTTTTTGAAATATCTTTGTCCAGTTTTGATACATGGCCAATACTATTCTCAAGGAATCAACTAGGAAATGACCCTCTGTTCTCTATTTTCAGAGTTTGTGAAGGAATGTTACTTCTTCAAATATTTGGCAAAATTCAAAGCAAATTTATCTTTGCCTGGACATTGATACATTGATTTACTAAATTACTCTCAATAATTCAGCTTCTTTACTTTTTTCCTTTTTTGGGTCTCATTTTGTCACCCTGAGGTTGAGTGCCATGGCATCATCATAGCTCACAGCAATCTCAAACTCTTGAGCTCAAGTGATCCTTCTCCCTCAGCCGCCTGTGTAGCTGGAACTATAGGCACCTGCCACAACAACTGGTTATAAATATTAATTTTTAATAATATGCTTCATTAGAACTAATTTAGTTCCAGTAAAAGACAGAACTTTCCCTCCACTATAACTCCATTCTCACCCCTCTTTGTGCTATTTTTGTGTGTGTGTGTGTTCAGTCATGTCCTGCATAATGACATTTTGGTCAGTGACAGACCATATACAATTGTGATCCCATAAGATTAAAATAGAGCTGAAAATTCCTGTCATCCAGTGACATCATAGCCATTTAACATCATGTCACAACACATTAGTCATTTGCTTATAGTCTGTTGGTGTAAACAAACCTTCTATACTATCTCTCCTATAAAAGTATAGCACAATTATGTACAGTACATAATACTTGATAATAAATGATTGTTACTGGTTTATGTATTTATTATACTATACATTTTGTTACTTTAGCATGTACTCCTACTTATAAAAAAAGTTAACTGAAACTCGGTGTCTGTAGTTTAGTGGCTAGGGCGCGGGCAACATGCACTGGGGTTGGTGGGTTCGAACCTAGCGCAGGCCTACTAAATAATGACAACTACAACAACAAAAAATAGCTGAATGTTGTGGCTGGCACCTGTAGTCCCAGCTACTGGGAGGCTGAGCCAAGAGAATTGCTTAAAGCCCAAGAGTTTGAGGTAGCTGTGAGCTGTGATGCCATAGCACTCTACCAAGGGTGACAGAGATTCTGTCTCAAAAAAAAAAAAAAAAGTTAACTGAAAAATAGCCCGTGGCAGGCCCTCCAGAAGGTATTCCAGAAGGCCCTGTTACCACAGGAGATGATAGCTCCATGCATGTTACTACCCTCCAAGACTTTCCAGTGGGACAAAATGTGGAAATGAAGACAGTGATATTTACGATCCTGACCCCTTGTAGGCCTAGACTAATGCGTGTGTTTTATCTTTGTTTGTAATAAAAAAGTTACAAACAAAACTAAAAAGATTGATTTTTTTTATTATAACATTGGGCTAATGACTATAATAAAATAATTTTAATAGAAACAACTTAGCGGGGCAGTGCCTATGGTTCAAGGAGTAGGGCACCAGCCTTATATACCAGGTGTGGTTGATGGCCACCCAAATTGGATCATTTCTATTTATTTGTCCTCAAATTTACTGATTTATTCTTCTGCCATCTTAAATCTGTTGAGGGACTCTAGTGATTTTTGTTGTTGTTGAAATGAGTCTCACTATGTCACCCTTGGTAGAGTGCTGTGGCATCACAGCTCACAGCAGCCTCAAAATCCTGGGCTTAAAGCAATTCTCTTGCTTCAGCCTCCTAAGTAGCTGGGACTACAGGTACCCGCCACAATGCCCAGCTATTTTTTTGTTGTTGTAGTTGTCATTGTTGTTTAGCTCACCCAGGCTGGGTTCGAACCCGCCACCCTCAGTGTATGCGGCCAGTGCTGTAGCCACTGTGCTACAGACACAGTGATTTTTTTTTTTTTTTTTTTTTTTTGAGATAAGAGTCTTGCTCTGTCACGGGGCCAGAGTGCAGTGGCACAATCAGAGCTGGCTGCTGCTGTCTTGAACTCCTGGGCTCAAGTGATCCTCCTGCCTAAGCCTCCTGGGTAGCTGGGAATACAAGGCATGTGCTACCACACCCAGCTAATATGATTTTTTTCCTGCATCAGGTTTATTTGTACAAATAGCATAGGACCACCCTAGCCCCAGGCAGACAACAGCCCGAGTTCACACCAATCCTTTTGTCCTCATGTGGCAGACAGATGCCTCTATTGCTAATGGGGGGCCCTGGGCACATTTGGGAGCCAGAGGTGGAATTGAAGCTGGAGCTACAGATGAAGCTGCAGATTGGGCCTTGGTTTGATCCTTGGCCTTGGCCTTTGGCCTGCAGAACCTGAGACCCTTGGCAAATGCATGCACAAGCACCATTCCCAAGCTGGGGGTGGGCAACATAGTCGAGTCAACTGAGCTTGTGGTGGACATCCTTTGGGATCTTGGTCTTAACCTCTTCGGGCTTTACAAGGGCCGTGATAGCTTTAGCATGTGCACTCATGGCCTTGGCATTGTTGGCCTGCATCTTTTTCAGGCCCTTCTTATGCTTCTTGGCAAAGTGCATGTTCC